AAAGCCCCACGCTCCCACGCACTTTTAGAATCGAGACAGGAAGGAGAAGAGGAATAGGTAGGGAAGAGGTATCTTGACAGCTCTACACGTAGGGAAACACCCAGCAAGACGGTCGTGACCTCACCTTGTTGCGTCCCGCTAGCCTGGATGTGCTCTGCACCGTCTACCAATAAGGCACCGCCAACCTGCTGCTGCTGAGTGTTCGTACCCGGACTTGTCCTTGTACTGGAGTACCTTACCTTCATCACCACCAGCTCTGCCCACCGCAGGTAAGGTAACTTGCGCCAACCTAGGTCCAAGACCTGCCGCATTCTCTGCTGCTACTGCTGCCCACCTTTGACCAGGCAGAACGGGACAGGACAGGACAGACAGACCTAAGAAAGAGCACTTCTTTTTTCTGCGTCAGACCCTTTCCCGCCCTGCCAATCATCCTTCCCGTCATTCTTTTTCCCAACTGTTCGTCCGCCTCCATCGTCTCAACCTCCTGAAGCCGTGTGCTGCACCAAAATAGCGCCAGAGTCCGTCCGCATCGTCGGGGCCCTGGATTTGCTTCCGCTGCTGCTGCTGCTGCTCCTTTTCCTTGCCTCGACTAGCACGCGCTGCTTCTCAGCTATAATCTCACCTTTCATCCCGTCTCGTTCATCTCCTTACGTCGGTCTGTGCGAACAAACAACCCGATCGAATCGATTCGCATCGCGCCCCTTCATTCGGCTCACACAGCAGCGACTGTTCATCCGCCCTGCTCTCAGAACAGACCCTGCGCCTGCATCGTGACCGACCAACTGACACCACTTTTCGTTCCCCTCGGACTTCGTCTCTTCTTCCTCTTCTTCTTCAACCACCGCTGTGTCCGTCTTATCCTCTCGCTGGACTGAACCACTTTCGGGCTCGTGTTCCGTCTCATTGTGTCGACAATCGTCCTTCACTGCTACGACCTCTTCCCGTGGGTGCGGCGTTGGACCAGACCCTGACGCGATTCGCCAACGAAGTCGTTCTGTTTCAATGTCTCACACGTACCCTTGAGACTTTCGCCTCACCCCGACATCCCTCCCCACTACGCACCACGCAGTACGCACTGCGACCTTCGTACTTTACCCGCCGCCTCGCTCTCCAACTTGTCATTTGCAACCACTGCCACACCCTCGCGCGTCGCAGCATCACCTTCGCCTACCTATGAACTTCACTCTACCCAGTATGCAAATGACCTTCGCCCGCTCAAAGCCTCGCACCGCATCATAACCTGCGACGGGTTAATGTGTGTGCATTTGGCATGCATCGCCAGCCTGCAGACCGCAACACACCGATAGACGCTTGCGAAAATGACAGCCGCTGCTAATTCAAACTCATCAACCATGGCAGCGCGAACTGCAAACTACGCTTATGGCTCGCCAAATGGCACCTTGGTAGGGCAGAGAATGTTCAAGAAACACAAAGTGCTTCCGCATCCAAGAAAGCAATCCAGCGAAACCCAATCATACGAAGTCCAGTCGACTCCCAGAAGATACGGTTCCCTCACAGACAGCCCCGTGTCGCGAGCAGATGCGTCGCAACGCTCCGCTTCCCAAACCTTGAGGCATCAGTCGAGGCGGATAGGAAGCGGCCCGGATCTACCTCCGACGCCGCCTTCCCACTCGCGTACATCGTCAAGCACTCACTCGATCCCGCCTCCGAGCCCGTCTCCCGAGAATGTGTCGCAAACGCCAACCACTCCAGCGCGTGCGCCTGCGACTCCTCCAAACCAGAAGAGTCCGCCCACTCCAGACGTAACACCTCCCCAGCCTGTGACGCGGCCCAAGGCTGTACGACCGATTCCGATGGATCGCACAGTCTCCAAGGCGACAACAGCGACTGCCGAGTCTCGGGCCGAGTCGTTTCGAACAGCCAGAGAGGAGCCGTATTCTTCGGAGGAAGACGACTTGCAGTCGACCGTGAGACCCAATGCTTTATCGGCAAGAACGTCATCTCAAAATACCGTCCGGCATGCGGCTGAACCCCAAACGAAACCGCCGGCTCCAGTCGGCCTTGGCTTGGGTCTGGAGTCACCCCAGGAGGAGGAGCTTCCAACACCAAAGAAGGGCGACTTTGGCACTTTTGATGGAGAGTGGGCCTCGAACAGCGGAGTCGAACAGGAATGGGACGATAATCTTGGAAGGAACGTCACGGTAAGAAAACGGCGCCAGGCACCCGAAAAGGCATCAGATAAGGAATCTATGATCGCGTCACGCTACGAACCGCGTCGTGAAAAGCGCAAAGTCGAGATTCTGGAGGATCGTGTCGTAACTCCGACAAACGCTACAAGGGCAGTTCGAGCGATGTCCCGTGGTGACAGAGCTACGTTTTATGCGCCTAGTGAGATTGCCTGGTCAAGAACACCAGCCACCGAGGCTTCTGTCAACGCAGATTCCCGCAGGTTTTCAGGCATGTCCGCCAAGTCGACAAAATCGAATGCATCGACGGTGGTGGAAGCAATCTTGGTAGATGCTCCTGCTATCCCCCATAGGCGGCAGACCCTGAGGCATGTGCGAAAGCAAGTGGGACTACGAGATTCTGGATCAGACCTGTCTCCTCTGAGTTCTGCGGCGAACTCATCTGTGCAGATTGAAGAATCGCCGAGACGCCCCAGACCTTTGGCTCGCCCCACCGACGCTCGAAACAACAGCTATGCATCGAACACGACTTTCAACTCGATGTCGAGCGGTAGGGCACGCAAGGAAATCTGGAAGAGCGGTGCTATCCCAGTTGTCGTTGTGCCGGATCGACGATCGTCTGTTAAGTCCAAATCGAGCAGAACTCCGTCACTTCGGTCCACCAGCAGTCGCCGGTCCAAGCGAAGCGCCAGTCTGAGCTCAGCAACTCGCGCAAACGGGTCGCGAACAACCACCGACTTGCCGACACCCATCTTTGACCGACCCGGCCGGCGAAGCCGGACCTTGTCGGAGTCAGACGGGTCGGACCAGCGTACGATCGACTACCCTCCAGTCATTCCCAAGCGCTCTTCCTCCTTGTCGGCCCCAACAAGCCGCAATACCTCCCGCGCAGGTTCGCTCACCGCGGAGAGTTTGAAGGCTCAGAGCGCTTTGCTCAACCAGCAATCTGGACATGAAACAAGAGCACCCGCCCTGACCCTTCAGAGGGCTCAGTCTTCAGAGACAGACAACGGCCACCATCATCGGGACCACAAGCACAATGTTGACCACCATGGAGACCCCTTCTTTGGAAAGCGGCTGGACGCACATAACACACCTTTCTCCGCAACCTCAGTAGAGACTAACGGTACTGCCCCCGAGGTATCAGAAGCAAAGGCTGTGAGCCTCTATCCCCACCAAAACTCATCTGTCCTCGTTGTCAATCATTCCAACAAGCCTTCTGAGAGCTCAAGCACTGAGTCGTCTCAGACGGATTCGGAATTTTTGAGACCGCCCCAACGACCGACAATCACCACCACTGGCCCAGACGGCGAGGAGGGCTTCATGACTCCTCCGCAGCAGCGTTCCGTGGATAACGTGGATTCTCCGTTGCGCAATCCACGCGCCGCTCCACCGGTACCTCCATTCATTCCGCCGGCGATTCAGTTCATTCCTGCTACGCCCTCGGGTCTTACGCCTCATCACGAGAGACAGCGAAATATGGGCAACTACTTTGAGACCATGGTTGAAGAAGAGCCTCATCGGACCGGATCGATTGTGCGACGGGCGTTGACGCGAAGGCGGAATTCGGAGACGTATCCACCAAAGAGCGCCAGGCCTAGCCTTCTCACCCGAACCCTGTCCCTGACTAGGAGAGGATCTCTTTCTAGGTCATCACACAAGGACGAGTCCTCCGTGGAAGTACCATGCTCATGCCCTGAGTGCGAAGGACCTCCGCCTGAGGACGGCCGTCTCCATCCTCATTGGCGTCCGGCCTACTCCGACCCGGAGGATGACGTGTGGGAAAGAGAAATGGAAGATGAGCCAATCAGTCAGGTTTACCGGTACCCGCCGATTGATAACCGTCCTCAGCCTCCTCGCAGAAGGATCAGCGAGCGCGTGAGGAAGACTTTCGCAATTCTGCCTAACCGTGATGAGGGCCTTTCCTACTCTCCCCCTAGTCCGAATGAGCCGGAGCGCCGCACCATTCGCCGAACAGACAGTGGCAACCTGCGGGTTATGAGACGCAGGAGCAGCTTAGACTCTCTTCGCGACCAGTCGGACGACCCGCCGCCTTACGACAGTCAGGATGGCGATGGCCGAAGCGGGACAAGGGGCGAGGCAGGACCGAAAAGGAGACGACGCTTCTCACTCTCGGGCACGTTGGAAGGGCTGCAAAACATTCCGCGCCAACTGAACGAGCGTAAGCGCGAAAAGAGAACGCAGGAACTGCGACAGAAAATTAGTGGCCCACGCGAGGTGCGAGACGGTGTAGGGGAGGTGATACGGCGCAACACCTACCGCGAGATGCACCAACAAAGGCACTCGCCGTCGACCAATTTTTGATCTGCCGAATGATCAACACTAGCCACCAGGCGCTTTGCATGGGGCACTTATACATAATTTTATCAGGAAGGAATACCAAGGAGGGGCAGAAGGACATTATGACCGCTACGAACGATATCATTACGACTACAGGAACTTTTATGACCAAGGACGATACTCTTCACGAATCACGTGGTAGATATTTTCTTTTTCGGGAAACGGTGTTGACTTTGGGAGCTCGGAACGTCTATGATGATTTGGCTGGGATGGGCCTCGGAGCACGCACGACTGGTTCCGAGAACGATGGGACCACCATTGCTGTATCATATAGAAATTGCCCAAGAAGATACCACTTTGCAAGGGCGATGAACCCTTTGGCGCTGTAGTACAAACGTTCCTCTTTCGCGATGATGAATCTGATGTGATTGGTATGAATAGTCATCTACCGTGCCGTGCCATGAAGCTTTGCCCCTAAATATTTGACGCCTGAACACCATCCTCTACCCAAGAACAAACAAGCCTATCTACGAGGAAACGATGGCCGTGCGATCATCTCTTTTCCTGGCCCGGGGGTGCGCTACCAGGAGGGAACGCGCCTGGAGGTGCTCCAGGGAAGCCACCGGCACCTGGTGGCGGCATGCCAGGGAACTGGAAGTTGGGCGGGGGCAGAGAGCCCGGTGCGCCGGGAGGCGGGAAAGGAAGTCCTCCGGGGGGAGGGAACGGCAAGCCGCCGGGCGGCATCGCTCCGTTGGGGCCACCGGGGAAGGGAGGCATGGGCGGCATTCCGCGACCACCTGGACCGGGAGCTGTTGTCCCAAGCATGTCAGACGCGTGTTGTCGACGAGTTTCTATCGCAGTGGGAGAGGCGGCTTACGAGGAATCATGCCCTGAGGGAATGGGGGCGCGCCGGCGGGCATGCCGGGGAAGGGCGGCGGTACACCTCCGGGGAAGGGGAAGGGCGGTGGGAAGGCCTGGCCCGGCTGGTTCTGCGGCAGCATGGGGTTGTTGTGCGCTTGGCCTTCGGCGGCGTAGGACGAGGTGATGGAGTCGATGACGGACTGTGCCTTCTCATGGCCGATTTCTGCAAGAGGAAAGCTTCTGTCAGTCGTTTGCTCCAAGTATCGCGAGGCCGGAGATTTAGGGGAGGGCGGGAAACGAACGTTGGTAGTAGTCGACGACGTTGCGGAGGTGGTTTCGACCGCTGTTGTGCGCCTTCCGCACGCTCATGGAGTCGTGCGTCAGGTAGACGTCGCAGTAATCGCCTAGGCATGTCCGTTAGTCGATGTCGGAAGATTCGTGCGATCGCGAGCTATTGCGTGAGGATGGGGGGCCTTACAGAAGACTGCGAACTTGTTAGCTTTCGTTCTGACGCGCGACGGGGGACAGGTGATGTGGGAGCTTACACTTGGGCATCTTCGCGGTTGGATGTGTTCCGGAACGAAGGACTCGACGGTGGTTGATGCGAACGGAACAAAAGTATTGTTCCTCGAGACGAGCGCGCGTATCGTCGCATTCAATGGCGGGCGGGCTGGAGAAAGGAATACAGGCCCCGGGCAAATGCGGCGCGCCTCAGAGCGCCACACCAGCTTTGCTTGCTTGCCAGCACAGAAAAAAGCTACGAGGCTGGCCAATCATACAGAGCTGCCAAGCGTACAAGGCTGCCCCCCTCCTCAGCGGTGATTGGCTGTACGATTAACCTATCCCCATGGACAGGGGTGTCTGAGTGGCCCAGGCTCTCGAACGCGACAGATTGCCAAAAAATCCCCAAAGGGTGTGTGCATGGTTCCTTGGTACCACTTGTCATGGGCCTAGCTTCTCCTATCGCCAGCGCTGTCCACTACCTCAACCTCAGGGAGCTCTCACCACCATCTTGACAACCTCACCAACGCTCGACCTCCCCCCCTCCCGGGAACTGCAATCGAAACCCACCGATCCGAGCCGTTCGTCCCTTTCCTCGTCGTTTTTCGAGACAGATTGCACACATACACAACAATGGCGGCCACGAGATCATTGCTGCACTACGTGTGCGGCCTCGTCCTGCTCGCATGCTGCGCCCAGGCTCTGCGCTTCGACCTGCACGCCACGGGCTCCCACGAAGGCAAGAAGGAGCGATGCATCCGTAACTTTGTCGCGAGAGATACGCTGGTCGTCGTCACGGCGACTGTCGACGGCCACAAGGGTGACGGCATGGTCGTCAACATGCACGTACGTGGTCTCAAGGAAGAAGGGGCCCCTCTCTCTCTCGACTGGGGGTGTTGGTTCAATTGGATCGGCGCTCGAGGAGGGAGAAGGGGCGGGGGAAAACCTCCCCTTTTGCAGCTCCTTTGGTGGCATACAGAAAAGGCTGACATACGGTTTGTGTGATTCCAGATCAGAGATGCTGTTGGCAACGACTACGGAAAGCCCAAGGATATTGCGGGCGGCGAGAAGCGCGTTGTCTTCACTTCCCACGCCGACGCTGCCTTTGACGTCTGCTTCGAAAACCTCCTGACTGGATGTACGTGGAATCCCCCTACACCGTCCTCTTGACTTGGCCATCCCCATTGCTCCCCGCTGCTACATGAAGGAACACTGAAGCTGACCCCTCCCACAACAGCCGGCCGCAGTGGCTCCACGAGCCGCCACATCGAGCTCGACATCGACATCGGCGCCGACGCAAAGGACTGGAACGCGATCCAGGCGACGGAGAAGCTCAAGCCCGTCGAGGCGGAGCTGAGGCGCATCGACGAGCTCGTCAGCGAGATCAACACCGAGATGGACTACCTGCGCGCGCGCGAGCACAAGCTGCGCGACACCAACGAGAGCACAAACACCCGCGTCAAGTGGTTCGGCATTGGCACCACCATGATCCTCGTCGGCCTCTGGGGCTGGCAGATCATGTACCTGAGGGCGTACTTCAGGTCCAAGCATCTCATCTAAAAACAAATCGCCCATTCCTTGTTTGTGGGCGACACGACGCAGGCAATACTGTTGTCTGTGGGCTGGCTCGCCAAAGAAACAAAAATCAAATTACGAAGTTTACAGAAGCATATCCGCGTTTTTGCCGCGGATGGATGGTGATGATGGAGTCAAATGCGATGCGACGGGACGGGCATCAACTCACCTCGAGGGTTTCCCGAGAGTGTTGTAGTGTATACATACCATGTTCACCATTTGAAAAAAGTCATGAATGATTACGGACATCACATACTGAAGGGACCTCATCATCATCAGAGTAGTCGTGTGCCACATGAGAATAACGTTCATTGCCACGGCTTGGATAAATTCACCGACCTCCAATCACCATCACTCACTCTGAACTGCAGTCCTTGTAGGTGATCCAGGGTCATCTACAGACAATCACCGATGCCAAGCAGAGGTAGAAGAATGCTGAGCTAGAAGCAAACAGCAGAGAAAAATTGGGTATTGTTCGACTGCCAAAACTCCCACTTCGTCCAGACGCAATCTGTCTGGTTTATCATGCCGTCGCCGACAGGAAAATAGCCCTGCCCTCGCCCTGCCCTGCCCTTCCCAGCGCCAAGCCATGCAATAACAAGAAACGCGTCGAAAGTAACATGTCTTGGTAAAACAGTTCCCCGCCCATCAAAGGTTTCATGAAGAAATCGAAAGGAGGCAAGTCCCTCTCCTTTCTTCCTCAGCCGCCGTGCCAATCATTATCTCGTCATAAGAGAAGAAAAACACACAAACTTGGGTTGCTCGATCGTGTATACATTATAATTCTGGTTGATCATGTGTCGCCCTCGGGCAGTATCCTACCCAGACTGCGCAGGACCTCCATGACGGGCATCTCTTTGGTGCCGACTGTGGCCTTCTCCCGCGTCTCACGCTCCTTGAGCCGCGCGGCGCTGAGAGAGAGCACCTTATCCGCCTCTCGGCCTGCCGTGTCGACCCGCTGCATAAGCTTGTGGACGCCGTCCGCGAGTTGGTCGACCTTGAACTCCAGCGTGGCCTGTGTGTTTTGGAGACTAGTGAGTGCCTTGGCGCGGATGGAGTCGAACGAGGATGATGGGTTCGTGAGCCAACTGAGCATCTGTGCCTCGCTGGGGTCGAGTACTGATGCGTCTGCCATGGCTGTTTGCGCAGGATCTGATTCAGGGAATAGCGGCGGGGCTTCTGTGCGGGACTTCTTCAATGCCAGCCACTTCTTCTTTTCCTCCTTCAACCTGTGCGGGATGTCAGAATTCCTGCGCGAACAAGCGTCATACCAGACCTAAACATACCTCTTAACCTTCGCTTCTAATTGTTCAATCTTCTCCTGGTGCTCAATGTTACGAGGATTAGGCTTGTATACCACGGGCACCTTTGGCCCCTCCTCTCGGCTAAACCAGTCGGAAAATTCTGACTTGTTCGCGAAATCTTTGAGTAGTTGCTCCTGGATGTATCGGGCTGCCAAAAGTTAGCTTTGTGAGAAAACATAGATTGCTACCCAACTCACCACCCAGAACCGCATTAGAGCCTGTTTTCCCATGCGGCGGCTTCTCCGATAATGCTCGCTCGCCGCACCAGGTCAGCAACTGCCTCATCCGCCGCGGCTCCATGAGACCCTCTGATTCGATATGTTTGTAGAATTCCGCTGTCTCCACCTCCCTGTGTGGGATGGCGTTGTGTCCGCTCTCAATCAGTGAGCTCGCTCTCCGGCCTCGCATGCCTGTGCTACTCCTTCGATTTCCGCCTCCCTTTTTCCGCATCTCCTTGTTCCGATTGATGACCGGTGTGTCGCTGATCGGGAGTGCAATCTTTGCCGACTCTACCGAGTCGTTCAAGACGCGCGGCGTAGACCGCCTGTCGACGTCCATCGGTTCTGAGCCTTCCGCCTCATCGTAAGTTTCCTCCGGAACAGGAGCTGGTCTCGATGCTCGTCTAGGTGCCGGCTTCTCCTCTGGTTTCTCCGCTGGGGCTGTAGAGTTGCGCGTACTGCGGCGCGTCGTCCGCTTAGGCGCGGGCGCGACCAACTGCGGTTCATCCTCATCGAGCACCTCCAAACTCGGTGGTCGTCGCGTTTTCGCCTTCGAAGTCGCAGTCTTCTTCACCACCGGTTCCTTAGAGGGTGTAGGTGCAGGCGCGGCCGCCGCAGCGCGTTCCTTCGGTGGTCTTCCTCTTCCGGACTTCTTTGGGGGCAATGGTGCGGGCTCCGGCTCTGGTTCTGACTCTGGCTGCGCGTTCTTAACACGCTTCGATTTCGATCCGCGTGTGAAATGGAAATCGCCATCGGCCTCATCGTAAGTCGCTGCGCGAGTTTTTAGCATCATGTCCGCCCCGCTGCCCCTGGGGCCTCATTCGGCTCCTCAAACTCACCCGCAAGGCGCTTGCTTTTCCTTCTTTCGGGCAATTCGTTGCTCATGCTAATGACTTGTAGCGGTTGACGGGTTCGTGTGACGGTCGTCATGGATGGCGCGTGTCAGGGAGCATATGGTCGGGAGGTTGATTGCCGGCGCTTCGGGTCCTGCAGTCGCGCTGGTTGCGATGCAGAATAATATCGCGTCAATCGCCGTTCCGACGCGATTTACAAGAATGATTAATGACTTGTCGCCGGCGGGCGTTCTGTCAATCGATTTTTGGCGGGGTTGTGTCGTTGGTGTCGCGTCTGTCGGTGTTGGCGGCGCGAAAGTGACGAGGTGCAGCTTCGTCTGCGATGTTGTTTACATGAGGGACCATTTACCCGTAGCCGCGCTAAGCCGCTTTCGGAAGTCCCACCACTCACCCACTCACCCCCCGAAAGGTAAGACCGCCTCACTGACATCACTTGCCTCCTAATTCAACTACACATATCCCATTCGCGTCGATATCTTACGAAGGGTCGAATGCTGCACTACGCGTCAATTGCCATCTATCATTAGATTAAACTTCACGTTAGATATTTCACGTGACAGGAAAGGCAAGAAAATCATTCAGTAAAATGTTATATTGACCTCAACGCATTGCTTCATGCAGCTGTTGTTACCATTGCCACGTCAATACTCGAATCAATAATAAAATAAAATCAACCGGTCCGGCAGATAACGGCGTGTGCCCGTCATCTACCCCTCGACGCCTGCCGCCTTTCAATGAACTTGCCTAACCCGAACTCCTTTTGATGTATATGCCTCGCATCTTGTGCCTTTCAATGAAGGAACATATGCGCCGTCGACAAGCCAATGACGCCTGCTAACCTCCCGCCTTCAACCCGAGGAGGGCTGCTCCTCTTCTTTCACAGCCCGTTCCCCAGCGAAACTCCATGATCCAATGGCAGAAGTGAAGTGGTGATGATGGAGCAGGTTTGTCGGAAAAATGATGGTACAGTCGAACCGCAAGTCAAGGCCAAGCCGAAGAAATGAAGAAAAGTTTCGTGCATGAGGGCGAGGAGGCCGACACATCCAAGAAGCACCTAGCATATTGCCCTGGCCTTGACGCAATCACGAGCGCTTCAGATTACGTATCACTTCTCTCATGAGAAACGTCGCTGGACACCCTGTCCAGCTGCCAAAACTTGCTGCTGGGGGATAGGCGCAGCCATGCCGTACGGGTTCATCTGGGGGTTGAAGGGCTCCATGGCCTGTTGCATGAACGCGCCGTGCAGACCCTGTTGCTGGGTGACAGGACAGTCCTTGTGTGCCAAAAGTAGCGTCTTCAGGTTTACAACTTCCTCCCGGAGCTGCGTTATTTGAGCTGTCAAGGCATCGTTCTCACTGCTGAACAGCTCAACCTTTGACTGGAGATTAGCCAGCCACTGCTTCTTGCGCTGGCGACACTTCAAGGCAGCGACTCTGCGATATTGGTTAGTCAAGGTCCACATCGTAAACACTACAAAACGTACCTGTTACGCTCCAAGAAGTTCTTTCGCTTCTCCTCGTCTGTCATCTTTGACTTGGAGCCGCCTTCCTTGTCGTCGTGCTTCTTCATATCATCATCGTCGTCTGAGTGGCTTTCATCACCATTCATGTCAGGAGGAGGCGACAGGTTGGTCTTGGCCTTCTTGCTTGGGGGTGCCTTTGCGGGAGGTTCTTCAGCCTTCCTGCGGCCATTGGTGACTGCGCCACCGGTCGAATTGCGCTTGCCCTTGCCACGGGTAGAAGGTCGAGCCTGCTCGCTCTCGTCCGAGGCGGCGCTTCCACCTTCGCTTACGCCTCTTACAGAAGATCCAGCACCGGCAGATCCTGCACCGTTCACGCTGCCCATTTGGGGAGAAGTCTCGACACTTTGGGCGGGTGCTGGCTGAGGTTGCGGGTGTGACTGAGCCTGCGTCGCTGGGGCGTATCCTGGCGGCTGCGCTCCGTTTCTACCTTGTGCAAGCATAAATAGACCGTTCGCCGCGTCGTTATCGTGGGGGTCGAAGGCACCGGGTTGCTTTGCTTCTGTTTTAACAACTGCGACACCGTTGGCCATCTCCTGCGGCTGAGAAGTGACCGAAGAAGCGGGCTGTTGCTGCTGGTTCTGAGGTTGGTTTTGGTTCTGGTTCTGGGTTTCACGCTTCGCTGCAGCACTCAAAGCCGTACGATGGAAGTCAATCGTACTGGGCGTGGCACCACCACTGGCAAGCTGAGCGAACAATTGCTGAGAATTAGGACTGGGGGCTGGGAACATAGATCCACTGCCTCCTGGTGTCAAGCCCGTCCTCAATGAAGACTCGTTCGGTGTAGGGAATCCGCCTCGGAGATGATGCGTATCGCTGAAGTAGTCACTTGTAGGGCCGGACAGCATAGCTGGACTCAGGGGGCCCGTTCGAAGCGAGCCTCCTCCCCAGTTGAACGGCGTTGCACCGCTGCCAGGAAGCAGCGAGGATGGAGATGTCAACGCGGCTACAGATGGCAGTTTCGTGCCGCCAGGTGTCTCTGGCGCTCCGCCGCCGAAAGACTGCTCGAAGGGATTGGGCTCCAGACTGAGGGATGCAGCAGCTACGCCGCCAAAGTAGTCGGGAGTGTTTCCTGTAGCTTGTCCGGGTC